CCCCCCGGGGCCAGGGCATCCCCCCGGGGCCGGGCAGAGTGTCAGCCCCACGGTTCCAGCCGCTATCGAGTTTCTATGCTGGAGCTGGCCCTGATGCGATGTGGTGTCCCGGGGGTGGGGGTGTGTGTGTGTGCTCCCCTGCGACTAAAGCCAGGGGGGTATTTTTAGCCTCCCCCCAAAATCCCCAGCAGCGTTTGCGGGAAGGGCGGAGGTGGCAGGGTGCCTTCGTCCCCCTTCTCCCGCCTGGAATAAAGGCGGTTTCCAGCTGGTCCCATGGCTTTTGCCAACTCCTCTTCGCGAAGGAATGGCTTTGAAGGAGAGCCAGGGCTGGTGGGGAGCACGGGGCCCCAGGTGCCGGGGCTGCCGGGACCCCCGAGGGCAGCGGGACGGGCGTCCGCGGGCTGGAAATCTGGGGACGCACCATGGAGCATCCTGGTCCCCGCCAGCACGTGCTGGTCGCTGCCATGGATCTTCCTCTCGGCCGGGAAGGAGGAGGCAGCTCCAGCCAGGAGGAAGCAGCAGGAATTTCGTTTGGCTGCTCGGAGAGGCTGCGGTTAAGGGGGATGGGGATGGGGGGAGAGGCGTCCCCCGGGAATGGCAGGAGTCTCTGCGGGGTTTGCTTAGTAAAGCACCAGCGAGCGTGGCTGAGAGCTGGGAGTCGTGACCGCTGTCGTGCGTGGCACGGGGGGCACGGGGCTGAGCCCTCCCCCCATCCCACCGGAGGCTGCTGGGAACCCTCGTGGGGGCTGAACCGCTGCCAGGCCTTCGGCATCCCCATGCTCCAGCACGAGGGGAAGAGGGAAATCCAACCAAACGAGCCCCAGCCCCACGCTGCCCTCTGAGCCCTGATGGGACGATAGCATCAGGCAGGGGAAATAAACAGCGGCGGCTCTGGGGAGGGATGGGGAGCAGGAGAGACTCCTGTGACCAAACCGAGCCTTGGTCTTCCCCGTCACCACCCAAGATCCCAGCCGGTGGCTTGGCGAGCAGGGGGGAGCGAGGGTTCCCGGTCTTGCTCCAGCGGCTGCTGGGTGGGAAGGGGTGACCATGTCCCACCAGGTCCCCAAAACAGGGCACTGCTGCCTTTGAGGCACGGCTGCATGCACCTGTTTGGGAGCTGGTCCCAAATTGGGGGGACAGGAGCGACGCGGGTGAGCGGGGCGAGGGCCGGAGGCTGGTGCTCACCATCGAGGAAACATAACGGTGTTGGCCAGAGCTGCTCCGTGCCTCAGTTTCCCTCCTGGGATTAAAGAGGGCTCTCCCCTCCCAGGGGGCTCGTGTGACTTCGGGGTCCTTGGGGCTGCTGTGGAGGCAGAACCTGAGGTCTCTGGAGCGGGCTGGAAGGTCGGATCCAGCCCTTGGTGGTTGGGGCTGGATGCTGTGTGCATGTCACACAGGACTGGGCACCTCTGGGCCGGGGCAGGGTGACATGGCAGAGGCCGCCGGCACGTTCTGTGGCAGAGCTGGCAGCCAGGCTCCCAGCTCACCCCGTCACAGTGTAAATAATACCGCGTCCCCGCCACGCACTGCCCTTTGCACCCAGGGCAGCGCCGCATCCTGCTCCCGGCCCGGCGGCGCCGCCACCCCGACCCCTGGCACCCGCGGCGGCTCCTTCGCCAGGCGGCACGAGCCCGCGGCGGGGGGGGCG